TGTCCAATAAGGTTTCTTCTGACTATACAGTAACACAAAAAACTTTTATCTTTATAGCTGATGACTTAAAATGCTGATTTCTAGTTAGGCTACCTCTTATCAACTATCAATTACGTCAAGTTACAACTTTGTATCGGAATATTGTGAAAGTTACTTCTCAGAGAATGAACCACTAAAGTTTTAACGAGGTATTTTAGATTGAATGGAAGCGAATACAATTTTAATGATTGAATATTAAAATTATTCACCATAAGTGTCTAAGTGAAAGTTAAAGAATGTTGAGACCACCCCGTTAGTCAATTACTAACATTGAAAAACTGTTGGATTTTTCATATAAATATGTTCTAACTCAGATTCATTGGATTATCACCGGGTTATGTGTGTAAATCTATGCTAAAATGATGATAATCAGTTAATGATTCTAGTTGTTTCACGACTTCTGCGTAAGCAAATTTCATAAAGCAGACAAAATGAATACAATAATATCAAGGCTAACATTTCTAGGCTTTTCTAGTGCCTTATACATACAGAAATGTGTCTCAGTAAATGCATAAAATTCCTATATATTGTTTAACACTTCTGCCTATATGAAAAGTTAGACTTATTCGGAAGTGAACAGTGAAGAAGAAATCATATTGGGGTAGACAAGGGAGAAAAATTTTTATTTCTTCACCATTGAAGGTCAGTAGACAGATAGGCATGTGAGAAAAACAGTTTTTCCCCTTATTGTGTCTAGAAATTATCATCAGTATATAATACTAGTTTGTGAATATTCGAAGTGCTAAATATGACAGAATGATAGTACAAAAACTCAATAAAGTATGCATGACATACGAAAGTGATTATTCACTTTAATCCTGTTTAATTAACGCTACTAAAATGTCATTTCAGTAGCATATACATATTGTTGAAAATCATAGAGAGAATAATACAATTAGGAAGTTTTTAGACCCTGGAAAACGTTGCTTTCCCATCTTTGGCATTGAATCTATTCACATTTTGACTTTATTTACTGCTCTGTGTAGGTATATGAGGCTGCCTAAATTTCCTTTTGGCTAAGAGACTGCAATACACAAACGTTTAGCGGTAATTTTGAGAATGCTCTATCAGATAACTAAACCGTTAATGGTGATGATTATGGGGTCGTTAAAGATCTATGCAGTAGACGTAGCTACTTCAGTTTACTAATATGCTTACAGAAAATTCACCAAGTTTATCTCAATAAAGAACTCAACAGAAGTCTACTGAATCTTATTGAAAGAAGAAATGTCATAAGATCTAAGTTAGTACTCATCGTGGTTGAAAACCAGTTGGCGAACAGTTGAAGAAGTAAGAGAACTGGACAGCTGATTCGTCTCACTATGGGACTTCTTTATAGTGTTCATACATGACCACAAAACCAAATGAGCTACTTGTTCAATGGTAGCGTACTTGCTGCTGAATCTGCAGGCTCCGAGTCAGATCTTTAACAGGGTCATAGGTGCATGCTGATAAGGGACCCCATGTCAGGACAAAACAGTTATCCAGCGCTTCCAGGTTTTCAACGGTTCTCTAATGTAATTTTGCTATAAATACCAAAATGAAATCAATAAAATCCTCACAAACCTCCACAATAATATTAAAGTACTACCATTCCGAGTGATTATAAAGGCCATTATATCATCTTAAATAACAAATAAGATTTTTTTATTTCACGTGAAAATTTCCTTTTAGGTAGCAATAAAGGAGCTTGAGTTGTCAGTCACTTAGGTGGTTGTCAAGACAGTCTTTAGAGATATTCGCTGTCTGGAGTAGAACTAGTTTGACTTTTTTAAAACAATCATTAAGGATGGAGAAAATTGTTTGTTATCTGCTTATAAATTATAATATATAGTTGAATAAAATCAGGTGAAATTTATGAAGTCAGCTTTTCTACTTAGTCTCGAGTGTTGACCTGAATTGTATCGATGATTTCTGAAAAGTGGCCATCAAACTAGGATGCTCAGTATTGCTGTTCACTTTGGTGAATGTTAGTTAGTTGCTACTGTACTTACCAGAAAGGTGTAACTGAGACGTTGAAAAATGTTTCAGTTAAATATGTATTCAACACTTTAGTTTTTGAAAACAAATAAATGTTTTTCTAATGAAAAAGAATTATTAGTCATGAAAGTCTATTTCAGCGCTTTCAGTTGATTTTCTTGTTCAGGTGTTTGCATGGTTTTACGAAGGATGATATGGTAATGAAAATGTTACAATGAAGGTGGTAATTTAGTAATCATTTCATAAATTCTTTTAAGTATGATGGACAGAAAGCACCGTATATTCATGGAGTACATTTTTCACAGACGCTCTCTTCCATCTCCTTGTTACCATTTTCAGAAATCTTTTTTGTCTAACACTATCAGTATTTGGAGAGACTTGAAAGCTAGAAAATAACTTATGTCATTTCTAATCCACATGGGTATGTTTGAGCAAAGTACATCTTAGATAATGATAATTTAATGAACTTTGAAATTTATACGTATATAATTTCTAAAAGTACCATCTGCTTTTTCTGTCACTTTAGCTACTCCCATTAACAAGCTAGAAACGAGGTAAAAAGATAAATATTCTTCTTAGCAGTATAAACACAAGTGCACTTACATATAGGAGCATATATACCTACATTATAGTACTTTTCACGATTTGCTACTATATTCCTATAGTAGCACCACAAACATCAGTCATTGAGAAATATAAATAAATGACTTAGAATCTAATTATTATTAATATTTCTTCCTTGGGTTACTGGTGGAACACAAGGCTTCAGTAACAGATCGCCATTTCAGTCTTTACTCTGAAATCATTTCAATCTGGCTCCACCACTGCCCATTAACTTTCATTTCATCCTTAAACCACCTTCTTCATGTCACCCTCCGATGCCATATTCGTCTCCATTTAGGTACCACTCGAGGACCAGGCCTCACGCCTTATGTCCCAAACGGTTTTCTTAGTGTATGCCCAATCCAATCAATCTCTACATTCTTCCACACATTTGCTGGGCGATAGGTTATTGGTCGGCTGTTTCGTTGCCAGCCACAGTTCCTTCTTGTTAATTCTTATTATTCTGGCCATCTGATCTCCATCTTCAGCGTCTAGTGAGCGAAGGCGGCAGCTACTGATGTATGTCTGCAGTTTGTTGGAGATGCTTTCCGTGACATGCCAAGTGTCTCAACCATCACATGGAAGCAATGACTTACTTGACAATAAAGCTGAAGATCCGGATGTTTTTCACGGTTTATGCTGAGGGCAGTGGATTGGGTTTCAGAAAATATCCACACTGATTTCAGATTAATGAACGCCTATCTTGCTGTCTATCTGATCCTGCTTATGACATCCTCATCTGTGCATATGCCGCCTGTAGTTGAAACGATGCTATCTAGGTAGGTAGGTGAAAGAGATAACTTCCTTTACGTTTCTCCAGTTGATGATGATTGGTTCTTGTTGTTGACGACGTTGTTAGTTGGGTATCTTCATCACCTCCGTCTTCCCTACATTCACTTGAAGTCCTGTTTTTGCTGCCTCTTCTGTCAACTTGTTAGTTTTTGCCTGTAGATCTTCAAGTTTGTGCGACAAGACATCAAACATAAGTCATCATAGTCGGCGAAATCCAAATCTTCTGGGGTCTTTTCATCTGTCAAACAGCGTATGTCCATCTTCTCGCTCCTCACAGTCTATTGCATGATACAGTTTAGTCCACCACAACACAAACAGGAAGATCATCGGTAATAGCGGGTGACCCTGTCTTTCTCCTGTCTACACTTCAGAGGAGTCGCTGAGCTTTCTATTGTCAATCACGTGGCATGTAACATCATATAGCATATAGCTGTTGAATAACGTTGATCAAAATTTGTAGTACTCTGCAGTGTTGAAGCAACTGCCACATTACTTCTCAGTCGATGCTGTTGAAGGCTTTTTCAAAGTCGATGAAGTTGAGGTAGAGAGTTGAATAGCATTCTATACCCTGTTATATGATGATGCGTAGTGTAGCGTTACAATTTGATCCCCGCATGACTTGTTCTTCCTGAAGCCAGCCAACCTGTTTTGGTCGTAACTTGGGATCCAACGAATTTTTTAGTCACTCCAGGATGATGCGGTTTAATGTTTTGCTTTGGGTGGATAGGAGCATCATTCCTCGCCAGTTCTTGCAAAGACCTAGGTCACCCTTCTTTAGGATTTTGACAAGGTAGCCCTTCTTCCAATCAATCAACAGGTACCTTTCCTTCCTTGTTTCCAAACCTTTTGCAGTAGTGGTGTCAGCATGTTCCATCCTCACAAGATCGGTTTACCCGCACCCAGTTGGGCGATGTTCATCTGCAGGTGCGTGTGCTCGATGATGAAGATCAGATTGCTAAAATGAATAAACAACGAGGAACTCTGGCAGCGAACCCACCATTCAAGAACCCATAACTAAACCAATACTTAGAAGGAAGCGGAGATGGATTGGGCACGCACTGAGAATGCCGACTGGGGACATTATGCGCCAGACCAGGCCGTTGAGTTGAATCCGAGGGGGAAACGACGAGGCAAGGCTGACATGGGGGAGATAATATGAGGAAGAAATGAAATCTTATGGGTAATTATTGCGTCAGTTTGAAAAGAGTGGATACAAGAGAGTGTAATGGAGGCGTGCTACTCAAGCCTTATATTCCACTAGGAATCCTAGTGAGAAATGAGAAACAATAATATAATTCTACTTTCTACGTAATATATATTCTTGGAGTATATAAATGTTTAGTTATGGAAGCTGAAAAAATCGTTTTCGCCATCTGAACTGTTTTGGGAAAAAGCGCTATTCCTTATTGTGATAATTGTCGAAAGCAAGTTGTAATAGTCTGTTGAACACTGAACTACCCACCAAGTTTCTTTTAATTGCACTTTTGTGGAGTTAGCAAACAACTGAATATTTAAAATCGTACAAAATATAAAATCCACGAATGATTCAATTAATTACGCAAATATTTTTTCAATATTTTTTTTAGATATCATGTCGTGTGAATGGATTATCTCGTGGTGATGCTGTTCGTATTGTTTTACGTGGATGGATATGGGCTGATACATATTTTCGTTATAAAATATCTGACTTTGCAATTGTCAGTGAAGCAAATGCACAACTTGAAGAAACTGCTTTTGGCATTAAAATTGACAGTAATTTGACTGTACAACCATTAGCGATATCACAAAATTTTGTATTTGAAGGTATCAATGTTTCACTATTTCGTGAAATACCATTATGGCCATTTATACTTGGTAGTATTTTAGGCTTAGCATTACTTGCACTGTTAATATTTACAATGTGGAGATGTGGCTTCTTTCATAGGAAACAAATTTATGATAATCATCTTCAACAATATCCCCATGCTAATAATACCAATAATAATGGTAATACTATCAATCCATTATTTATTGAACCAAAGAAAGTTTAGCGAGTAGGAACAATTATAGCGAGAAATTTATCTGAGGCTTTTTGTCGATTTAATTCTTCAGTTTTTCTTCGCTTTTAACTGTCGCTTCATTTTAAAGATTATGACTACTACGCGTTCCCGGATTATTTGACCGATTGTGCTACTCTGAATGATATTTGTATATGTACAGTACTTTGTAGCATTTTGTTTCCCTTTCAAGAAAATTACAAACTTTCAGTGGTAAATATATTTTTTCCAGCTAGTTTAATTGTATTTTTTAATTATCTACTTGTTCACCCTTAAATTCGGCTGTTTTTTGTTCGAATTTAATGACTAACGTATGGCGCGCAAATTTGAATGCTTCAATGTATCTTCGTCATTTACGCAAACTAACTTTACCTATTGCTGTATGTATCAATCAAAAATGGACTGATTTATTTTTAAATATGAATTTGTTTATACGGATCCTTGTGTTTGAACTTACTTTAGGATGATTTTATAATGTAAATCTAAATATGTTTGTTTCCACCTCTTCCAGTGTACAAGAACAATTCATTATGATTGTTCAAAGGAAGTATTTGAAAAGTATTTGATATTGCTTTCACAAAGTGTTCTGTAAATTTACATAACTAATATTCTCCTCCTTTAAGTTACTGACTTGCTTCAAGTAGTCATTGTGCCTGTAAAAACTATCTTATTTCGTTGTGTACAAAATAATAGTTATTTTTGTCCTTCCTTATATTGTTACTGTAATGAAAGTTTAAAACAGTTTATTGAGATATTGAAAAATATTTGTAGCTAAGAAGGATGATTTCGGTGGCGTTGTGTTCTCTGAGTTGTAGATGTCACTGATATTCTGCATAGTATTATCAGCGTAAGCTTCAGAAAGAAGTGAGCTATAAGAATTTCTCTACAAGTGCCTTAATAGACCGTCCTGATGACCTTGTGTGTGATTGGTTGGATCTACTATAATCTTATCACTGTCTGCACATGTATTTCAACTATCTATCTTGTTGATCTGAACTCTGACATTTTTGTTTATCACTGGTTGACAGATTAAGTAGATGCTAATATATCGATTGATTTCTGATTGGTTTGAATCCTAAGCTTCTGAAATCGTCTAGCATCCTTTGTACTTCCCCTAACCTAGATATCTAAAGTTCCCTAGATGAATTCATGTCTACGTGCAATGATATGACTGATGAAATAATGTGATGCTGTAAACCTATTTGATGTTTGTGTAAATTAACACGAAGAAGACAGTTTTTCACAGCTTCTGCAGTTAATTTAGTAGGTGACTTTCGGATCGTAAGTACTTGTTGTTGTATCTTTTGGCACGGATAATATGAAGTGATGAGATTTTTAGACTTGTGAGCTACAGAGATTCCCAACGGTCTTAGTATTCTATTTGCAACCCTTGAGACTTTCTTCTAATATAGTAAGACATTCTGTTTGCTGGCTTCCATGAATGCTGTTTTGGTTGACAGTTAATCTGATAAAGGTATTAGGGTAGAATTGCACGTAGTATCGTTTCTCCTAAAGAGCCAACAAATATATTTTCACTTTTGTCCATAGTGTTGAAATACCATTGCATATCTTCGCTCTTTTGAACACTGTTCTTATTCAACTGATTTTGAGCGTTGTCGAATTGTTGCGGCTATAGTTGAGGCTCATTATGCGAAAAGAGTTTTATTTCCTAAAAGGTAGTTTCCTGATTTGCCTGAACCCATCCTGATGATCACGAAATTAAGAAATACAAGTTTGTTACCTACTTTATCTATCATCTTGATTTATGAGCGTTTTCCTGTTCATTTACTTTACAGATGACAGACTTTTAATCGGTATTTCGGACTCAAAGTTTTGGTTTTAGTCAGTGGTCCGATAAAAGCTTCCGATCTCCGCATTCCCAATTTTCTGATCGGCCCAGACATAGGTCATATTATTGAGGCTTGTGTTGTCTGTTTTCACAGTTTGGCATTATATTGGAAATTCGATGCAAGAAAATAGCCAATTACTTCTGTCGAATTTGATCATTATGACTTTGATTGCTCCGAGAAATTTGACGAGAAAAACAGCCATTGTACCCTAGAGTAGTTTTGACTTGTCTGAGTTGCACAGACAAGAAATGTCGAAGGTCACCAGAATTTAGTTGCTGAAAAAAGACATTCTTGGTTCCGGATTTTTCATTGAGTGGTTATGTGATCAAATCGAATTTCTTATTGTCATAAAAATTCCTTGATTAGCTACTTGAAGAATCCCTGTGGCATTTCAAAATGGCCTGCATATTTTCCACATTTATTAGAAATCACCAACAGCAAGTAAGCTACATGAAAGTGAAGGGTTCCTATGGCAGTGCACTGCAGCTTTATTCCCAATTCCTGTTATACCAGCAACAAATCCTCTGTAAAAGGAATACTTCTAAACACACGCTGAACAAAATTCAGCTTTGATTGAAGATCTAAAGATTCAAAAAATAATCTCCCAATGAGAAAACAAAGATAAATCGAATGCTAAAATGGTAAAGTAGAAAGATGTGTTAGGAGGAGAGAAGACGTATTAAAACAGTAAGCACATGAGAGAAAACATTTTCCCATGATGAAATCTGTGCACACAGGTAAAGGCAACTGCAAGCCTAATAATCAAATAAACTTCTTCGTGTGCAGAATTAAGGCTTGAAGATGTGACCGATATGGCTTCCACTGTTCGAAGAAGTTTTATTCCCACAACCTTCTTCAGATTCCCACATACTCTGTAGCTGACACTAAAGTAAGAGTATGCGTTCGGAATCGATTGAATGTTCTATATTTGAGCTGTGAGAGGATCTTTCCTCCTCTTTGCAGAACCAAGGTGGCATATTTTCGATGATGTGTTCAGAAAGCGGATAGTGAGTACGACTGAGATATATATTGTTTCAAATGAGCAGATGAACTCATGGATACACACGAGGGGGTCAACAGTGGTAGTTCATCCTTTGCGTATAATCAAGTCTTCAGTTTCTTAGAGAAAATGAGTCCCAGTTTAGCTGGCGGCAATGTTTTTCACAATGAACGGTATAAAATAGTTTTTTTAATCTATCCCCCAATAAGTAAGTCCCTACTGAACTACAAACTTTAGAAAACTAACTTTGTGAACCCTTATTTTGATTTAGTTTGTCTGCTTTCGGCCTAATAGTTTTTTTTACCGAAACATTCAAGTTAGTTACTTTCAACCAGTATTATTAGGGTGTTTAGAAATTTGTTAATGGCGTCAGTATTGTGGATATCAGCGATTCTGTGACACAATAAATGGATTAGATTCCGTTTTGTAACTGATGGCACTCGACCATAGAAGTTTATTTGCTGCCTGTTATCCATAGATTTTCTGTGGATAAATCGTCTTAGTGTTCCATTTCTATATCTAGTCATTGGTACATCTAAAAATGATATTTTCGAATTTGATTTCCTTTCTAACAAGAAATGGATTACCGCAAAACTTTTGTTGGGAAAACTTAAACTGAATTCTAAATTATATTTTATGAATTTTAATGTCAGTCATCTGGGCATCTTTTGCAAAATTCAAAATGATATATCATTCTCCTCAAGTATATGTTTTCAGGCTTTGATATAAAGAAGTTTGCGAACAAATAGCCTTGTAGAGAACCTGTAGCTTTCTTAACCTATTGTCTGTATTTTCCTTATTGAAGAAAAGCTGAATATTTACGATATGTCTCAGCAACAACACCTTTAGAAACCAAGTGAATATGCCGATATCTTATCTATAAGAATAGATAAAATTCATATATGTAGTATGTTGTCTCATGCAATGGAACATTCGTAAGCAATAAGATAAGATGTAGGATCAACATGGTTTTATCGGAGCAATTAACAGTATTGATAGAATTGACAAAATGTAACAAATCACTGAGGAAGTGAGAAAAAACTACCCTGATTTGCCTCAAAATTTTGACTTACCATTAAAAATGCGATGGTAAGGTAAGGCTGTCATCTCAAAAGCCCCAAGAACAAGTGCCCCTTATTGTATACCTTCGTTAGTTCAAATAACCTCAGAAGTGCGCAGGTAATCAAATGATTTGGAATCAATGAGGGAATCCATTCCAAAGTTTCGAAGGATGTCAGTTAATTTCTGCTCGTTTTGATCTATTTTATTCTTCTCTTTGATAATCCTCATGAATTTTATCCCATTACATAAAATAATTAACATGTTATTGACATGAAAATCGTCATTCAACAGTAGATTACCTCAGCGTGATCTTTGTGTCAGTCATCAATCCAAAGACTCTTTTTGGTTATGTCGTAGTAAACACAGGCAGAACTTTCGGTTCAGTGGGTAAAACATTGTAACAGCTATTGAAGACTTCTGACTTGAAGTGCGCATATTGCACACAAAATGCTGGTATTTAAACTCTCAAGTGTATATGCATGAGTTCATCTGCTCATTTGAAACAATATATATCTCAGTCGTACTCACCATCCGCTTTCTGAACACATCATCGAAAATATGCCACCTTGGTTCTGCAAAGAGGAGAAAAGATCCTCTCACAGCTCAAATCTAGAACATTCAATCGATTCCGTACGCACACTCTTACTTTAGTGTCAGCTACAGAGTATGTGGGAATCTGAAGAAGGCTGTGGAATAAAACTTCTTCGAACAGTGGAAGCCATATCGGTCACATCTTCAAGCCTTAATTCTGCACACGAAGAAGTTTATTTGATTATTAGGCTTGCAGTTGCCTTTACCTGTGTGCACAGATTTCATCATGAGAAAATGTTTTCTCTCATGTGCTTACTGTTTTAATACGTCTTCTCTCCTCCTAACACATCTTTCTACTTTACCATTTTAGCATTCGATTTATCTTTGTTTTCTCATTGGGTGATTATTTTTTGAATCTTTGATAAAGTGTTTTTAGAAGTATTCCTTTTATGTTGTTAGGTTAGTGTTATGGATATACATATGGAACTGTAGAGCTTAAGAATGAGATGCTAAATGGATTAGCTATTCACTGAACTTCATTTATTATAGAG